CGGCGGGGAAGATGACCGCGGGCGCTGGCGTGCTGCTCGTTCTGCTGTCGCTTTCCGATGCGCTCCGGGTAAGTTGCCGCCTCCCGCTCCAGCCGTTCGGAAGCCCGGCATAGCGCGGGGCCGGCACCGGAGCCGGCTGGGCGCGCACACGCCCGCTGGGTTCTCCTGGTCTTCCCTGACCCGCGCCGAGTGCCCCCGCCGCGCACACCTCTGTATCCAGCCCGGCGCCGGCGCTCCGAGAAGCTGCATGCGGTCGGCGGCGGCCGCCGTGGCAGCGGAAAGCAGCGGTGCAGAGCTGGGTGGGAGTGTGGATAGGTGGGGGACCCGGAGAGCTCTGCCTGCACCGGGACCCGCCGAGCATCCTTCGTCTGCTCCAAGCTTGCGGCTGCTGCCCGGGGCTCGGCTCGCCAGCTCCGAGGCAGGCTGCCCACTGGCGGAGCCCGCGCGCCCTCCATCGCCCGGCAGCCGCGTGCCTCCGGAGTTGGCGAGCCCAGCCCGGGCTGTGGCTGCGGGCGTGCGGAGCCTGAAGGCAGCGGGCCAGGGAACGGGGCGTGGGGTTTCCCGGTCACATTGCTCCTGCCCAGGGGTCGGGGGTCCGCTGAACTGTGCCGCCTCAATTCTTGGTTGCTGACAGGACCGTCGCGGTGGCTGGTGGATAGGGACCTCGGGGCACGCTCGCTGCCGAGACCGAGGCGCGGGATGGAGCCCTTATGTCTAATGGGGCCTCGCGGCTCGGAGCGGGGCGGGGAAGCCAGGCACCCGGCGGGCACAGGGCGCGGGGGGCACCCCGGGAGACTGAGCCCGGCGCCCGCATTCTGCCTGCGGGGCCCGCTGGCCCAACCTCGCTCTGCGCCGGGCGAGGTGCAGGGCCCGGGGAGCAGCGGGTGCGGCTGCTCCCGGGGCGCTCCTGGGCGGAGGCGAAGGGGTGGCAAGAGTTGCAGGAACCCCCTCTCGTGGCCGAACGGCCTCGCTGCCTCCTCCCGGGCCGTGCTTTGGTAACCTCGGAAATAAACAAGTGCGGCGGCGGGAGGCCTGCTCCCAGGCCCGGGGCGCTCGGGCTGTGCTGGGCACAGGGCCCGGGGCGGGCCGAAACTTTCCGGGACGAGTTTGGCCTCCCCGCGGGCTGCGGGCGCTATTTGGAGCTCCGTGCCCGGGGAAAGGAGCCGCGGTTTGGACCTTTTTCCACAAGGAATGACCCCGCGTCCCTCTCTCCCGCCCCCCGTTGGTGCTTTCGGGCTGAGGGCGCCCGCCTAGAAGCTGGCGTCGAGCGGCCTGGAGCTCGGGGCAGCCTCCGCAGCCGGAGCCTGGGCTGGAGGCGGCGGCGCGCAGGGAGGCGGCGGGGAGGCATGTTTCGCTTCAGCGCCGGAGCAAGGCGTGACTGCCGGCTGCGCCCCGGGTGCCCTGCGCTTGCTCCCTCGCTGCGCTCCTGCTCCTGTGGAGGAGCTCGCCGCGCCGCTGCACGCACTGCTGCACGCACTGCCTCTCCCTCCACCCCACAGCCCCGCGCCCCACTTCTCTGTGGAGCCCACTCCCAGCGCTTGGGAGGGGGCCTTGTCGTCCCCGCATCCTCACCACCCTTGTGCCTGAACTCTAGACTTCCTCGTTGGGCTGGGAAGGCAAGGGAGATCCCCATGGCAGGAGCGCACTCACCCCTCCCGGTCAGTTAGGGGAGCTCTTTTACCTGGCTGGGCTGGGGTGGGGTTCTAAGGTGCACAAGTGCCCAGGGAAGCCGAGAGAAGATGGAGGGCAGCTGCTCTCGCCCCCTCCTCTCAGCTGCCTGCAGAGCGGTCTTCCTTGCCCAGCTCTGAGTGGTCCTGGAGTCTCCTCTGACCTCCTTGATGACCAGAGAGGAGGCTGAGGAAGCTGCCTCTCCTCCTGCCAGCCTGAATGGCCCAGCAAGAGCCAGGGCTCACGTGGGCCTCCTCCTGCTTTCAGAGTGGACGCTGAAGTCCTCTACCCCTGCCTCGCGGGGGTAGCTCCGGCTTCCCCCCAGGTTCAGACACGGCCCTGACATGCAGGCCTGCTGTCAGCCTGCCTCAGCTCCTTACAGAACATCCTGCTGTGTCCCCAGTCTGCCGCCTGGCTCCTTGGATCCCCAGAGACCCGAGAAGCAGCCCGGCACCACCTCTGGGTGGAGACTGACTTATCAGCATTTTCCTCTCTGCTGGAGGCCTGTGCCCAGGGCTCTATGTGAGTTGGTCAGATTAAATCCCTATGAACTTACGTTTGTTTTCTCCCCTCTCCTCTATGTTCTCAGGCCCACAATGAGGATCTTACAGCCAGAGAGACCTGCAAGGCTGGGTTCTCGGAAGAAGATTACACGGCCTTAATCTCCCAAAACATTCTGGAAGGGGAGAAGCTGCTGAAAGGTAGGGGCGGGGCCTCGGGGTGGGAGGGATTGCAAACCACGCTTTTCCTCCAAGCCAGGCCCGCCTTTTCTCCGTGCTGTTTTCTGCAAAATGATGGCTGTGAAGTCAGCAAGGTGCAAATTGCTCGACCTCACAGGCATCTTGCATCACAGGTGAATGATTCAGAATCCTGTCATTTTTGAGTGAAGTGAATCATTTCCTGGGCAACAAATTAGAATTCAGATGTAACATCACCCAAATAATGTTCCGAGAGAGACTTTCTTACCAAGTATTTTTATGTATGAAATTCTGGATTCTTAAATTATCCCTGCTTTGAAATGCATGATAAAGCAGACGGTGTTGCTGGAAATGCAGTAAATAAGCCCACAGACGTTCTGTTCACAAATGTGGCGTTCATTTTCATTACTGCCCACTGACAACACGAAAACACACCCGCAGGAGGGAACTACCAATTAGCTCCATCGTCATTGCAGGATTAAATCCGCGCTCGCGATGGGAAAGTGAGAGTCAGTTTCCAAACTGGAATGACAGTAAATCATTCTGCATATTAAATAATATGTTTCCCTTTCAAGACAAACTAATTAAACTTTGTATTGGCACGGGAGGGGAGATAAATCAGTTCTTCCATCCCCACAGTTTCAAAGTGGTACCATGAACTCCTGAGCTGTGGGCTCTCCCTCTTGGCACGAGTCTCCCAGAAGTGGTGGCCTCTGATTTCAAAGTGATGGAGAAAGCCAACTTTCCATAAAGTATCAAAACTAAATTTCACATTCATGGTATCCTCTGGCTGTTGGCTTCTCTACCAGTTCTGTGTTCCCAGGAGTATAGACTTTTCCCTGAAGATCTGACAGCAGGTCGTGTGTGAGTGCCCTCATGGGCAAGATCTGTACCGCAGACCTTTACCTTCCAAGACAGAGCTGGTCGGCTTACCTTGCTTATCCCTGGTTATGTGACTTGGGATTTCCATTTTGCACTGAACCCAGCTTTTCTTACTTACTATCTGAATTTTGACAGAATTGACTTGCTTAGTGATCACCTGTTGGCCCAGGCGCAGAACGGATGCACTGTCTGAACAGGCAAACAAAATAAAGAGTTTTCTACAGAGGTTCCATTGATGGCATGTATATTGGCACTGGAAGGTCCTCTGGGTTACTAAGAATCCCTGTGCATCTGCGGAGAAGGCCCTGGGGCTCCGTCACTCTTGACGTGTTGTGCTGTCCTCACTGTCCCATACACTGTCCCATACACTGTCCCAACAGCTCTGAGGCCCTGCGTGCAGCCCGCTGTTTGCACGACTCCTCTGCCAGGCTGACGCTGGCACCTGTGAGCGGCCTCCTTGAGTATGTGGCTAAATGTGATGAGATCTTAGAGGATACACTTTATTCAGGGACTTAAGAAAAAAAAAAGCCTTTCTTTTATTAATAGCAAGTACTGCCTACAACAGCGGGAAGGACAAATTCTCATATTTCTCACAGTGCATCATAAGGTTTGAAACAACTGTTTATTCCCTGTCGTCCTGGACTGTGCAGGCATCTTGGCCTGCCATTGGTCCAGGCCACACTGTTCCCTGCCTGAGGCGGGTGTGGTGGGGAAGCCCGGGCCACTGTCTGATGTCAGCCTGGCTGCTGTGCTCAGATGGCGTTCACCTCAAAGGGGGCAAAAGGCAAAGCGTCATGTGGTCCAGGTGAACCTAGACCAGCTCACGGACTAAGTGTATGTAGGAATTGTCCTGTAAACTGTCACGCACTCACACAGGAGAAGCACCTAGCCAAAGCCTGGATCGTAGGACTGCAGAGCCTCTCCCAGGCCTCCCCTGGGTCCTGGGTCCTCTGCTCCCTCCTCTCGGGTGGGCCACCATCGTATCACTTCTCACATGTAGAGGCAAAAGCTGAAACTGGCACCCACTCAAGCCAGGACACAAACATGTCCCTGCATATGTAGAAAACTTTGTAACTGCAAGCCTGTGGCGAGCGTGGCTGTGTCAAAAATAAATAAAAGGCATGGTGTTCCTGTTAGTCTGGCAGGAATCAAGTTAAATGGATAATGACTACTTATAATTGAGTTATTCCAACGGAGAGAGCTTAACCTTAATGTGACAAGCACGGCTTCGCAGAGTCCCGCTTCATTCTCAGGGCGCCTTTGGCTGTTAAGGACGACTTGGCGGTTCCTTCTCTTGCCTGAGTCCAGAAGTCCCCCCAACCCCCCCAGATTCCAGCAGGAGCGATTTGTTACACAGTAATTAACTTGTTTATGATAAATGGATGGAAGAAATGTCGTGGCATTTTGTTTTATGTCTAAGTGAAAAGCATTTGCATTCTAAAAATTTCATGCTAATTAGTCTTAAAATAGTTTTCCCCAATAGGGTAGCAAATACTACGGATTGCAAACCTTTTGCGAAGTGGAAACGCCGAATGTGGAAACGCGGGTGCCCGACAGGCTGATTCATAGCATTCCTAGATCCCTTATGCCTTGCGTTTCCTGTCTGTGCTTTTATTGGCAAGAATTGGGGTGTAACTGCTCATCTTCTTATGCTACAGCTTTGCCTCTAGGATAATTCACTCACGGCCATGATCACTGACACACAGTAATATCTAAAATGGGGTGGTTGAGCCATTTTCCCTCGGCTGAAGTGGGACGTTCTCTAAACTGTAGTTTTATTCTGAGATGATTGCTAAGCTGGTATCTTTTTCTCTGCTTTGTTAATAATTAACAATCCACTCTCCCAGAAGCTGCAGCCTGGCGCAGTGACCTGCATTACTGTCCCGCACTCTGGGCAGAGTTCTGGGTAAACCCAGATCAGCTATGAAGCAAAAAAGAAAAAAAGAAAAAAAACTCATGAGGGTGAGAGAGTTACAGGAGACATAGTGTGAACAATGATTTGATCTTGGGGAAAAGCGGACAGGTGAGTAGACAGGTTTGCTAGGGGGAAGGTCTTGGCATTATCTTAGGAAAGTTAGTTTACTGGGCATTCAAAAAATGTAGAAAAGAAGAGCTCTTCGTTAGTTGAATAAGACTTCCTGAGCAAGGCTGGCCCTGTCCCCATCCCCTGAGTAGCTTGGGACCATCTTGTGCTTCTGCCACACTCTGCTTCCTCACCAGGAAATTGACCTCAGCTGGGAAGTCTTCTCTCTTACTTAAAGTGCCCAGTTCACGAGGACAGGAAGGCTGTCGTTCTTGTTTGCCATTTATAACATTTCAGGATATTCTTGGCCAACAGGATTATACCCAATTAACAGAATTTTAAATAAATCTGCATTAATTTTTCTCATATGACAATGAATGAAGAGACAGATTGTCAAGGGTCAGAGCCAGGTCAGTGTCACTGTCATACGCTTACTTCATTCTGTAATACCATCTTCTTTCTGTCACTTATTGCCTTATGGTTGCAGAGTGGCTGCTGTGGTTCCAGGCATTGCATCTGCGTTCAGAGCAGGGAGGAGGAGGGCATAGTGGCGCCACCTGCGTCTCTTGCCTGGATCAGGAAAGCAAGTGCTTTCTCCAAACCCCTGCATGTGTTCTAACTAGGTCACATGGCACTTCTGGCTAGGGGGAGTGTGGGAAGGCAGAGAATTGCATCATCACGTTGGACTTTGTCCCATGATAATCCATCACTTGATAGATGAGTAGACTGAATAGAGCAGAACTGGGGTTCTGTCTCAGGAAGGAAGGAGGGGTAGGTGCTGACGCACAGCATTCCCTCTTGGCCAGCCCCGCAGCTGAGCAGAGTAGACAGCCAGTGAATTGTTAAGTGATCAAACAACTCAGCTTGTGCCCTAGGCACCTAGAGAGAGGAGCAGCGGAGGGAGGTGAATGAGGTGTCGGGAGTCAACATTTGAGGGCTCATCTAGCTGTATCAGGCATACCTGGAGGGACCTTGCTGTGTCTGCACATGTGCGTTGACCAGAGCCTGTTCACCTGTGCAGTTTGGCTTTGCCGCCACTGTGCAGGCAGGAAATCTCACAGGACAGGGCACGGCTGGATGACAGGCAAGAAGATCGGCATCTCTCACTGCATACTCAGGAGCCGGTGCTGTGCCTAACAGGAGGTGGCTGTGCAGTCAGTATCAGTCAGATGAAGTAGTGAATGAGCCAGAAAATGCTGACACTGGTCTTGTTTCTGAGACTCTTTGGTTAAGTCGCAGCAGAGAGGGAGCTGCCGCCAGTGTTCGGATAGATGGCACTAATGATAAGCCACCCACGTATGCCTACAACTATTAGACGTTGCAAGCTGCCCGGCTGATATCCATTCTTTCTCTCTCCCTCTGCGGCAGACCTCGTCTGTGCTGATCCAGTTAGCTGACAGTGTGCCCTGTTTTAAGATATGCCTCAGACTCTCCACCACTGAGGTGGGAATGTGGCTTTTTCTGGTTCCCAGGAATCTAGTTAGGTTAGGATTCTGGGAAAGCTTTTTTTATTTCTGATAAAACAAAGAGCTAGCCATGCCGTCTTCTCTTTGCTCTATTTCTTCCTTCCTGCCTGGAACTTGCATGTGATGGCTGAGGTGGAGCAGCCATTTTGTGACCATGAGGAAGGGGCAAGGACCAGAAACTGGGTCCCAGATAGCAGTCTTAAAGAATTGCAGCGCCCTAGACCCATTGTCTTTTGAGAGGTGAGAACAACAAGATTAAGACAACATAGTTGTGTTTGGTGTCCTGTGCAGCCACATGCAATCCTTGACCCAGAGAACTCCAGGCACACAGGCAAATGCAGGCTCCATCCTGAGCCTGCTTCTTCCACTGACCCTATGTTCCCTGGGCCTTGGCCTCTCACTCTGGCTTTAATGGCCCTCTTCTGTTGCTTTGTGAATTAGTCTCCACGTAGCACACTGGATTGTAGAGAGCCTATCTTGGGTACTTGGTAAATATTTACTGAATACATGAAGGGACAGTTACCACTTCAGAGTTTCTCGTGATCAGGTACCAGTGAACCATGAAATACACGAAGCCAGGGCTGAGTACCTAAAACACTCTGGGTTGCAGTGACCCTCTTCCAGGAGACTGT